CGGGCTTCCCCGGCGCGTCGCCCCGCGACGCCCGCTGCGCGGCCTATCTCTGCACCAGCGAAGGCCGCTGGGAGGTGCTGATCTGTTTTGTCGGAGGCAGTCCGCCTCTCCTTCGGCCGCGCCCTCCAGGCGTCCACTGCCTAGCCGCCGACGCAAACATGTGCTGTCGGAGGCAGGGGGGAAGGTGGAGACCGAAACGAGACGTGAGGTGCCCCAACAGGGCATCGTTCCGTTTCGTGCGTGGCGGCCGTGCGGGCGACTCGGAGCTGCGAGGGCTCCTGCCCGAACAGGGGGGCCAAACCAGACCAGAATGCTGCGCCCTTGGTGCATTGTTTTGCCCCTGGTGGCCCCAAGGTTATCCCGATAGCCCGTTTTGTGTAGATATGCAAATATGTATGAAATTGTTGTCCCGCTGGTTGTCCGGTGGCCGTGGCCCCCTTTGGTCGGCGGATGCTAGGTCCATATAGAGTAAATCCTTCAGGAATTCTTGGTCTCTGTATGGACTTCCTCCGTCTGGACTTAGCCGCTAAGCCTCTCCTGATGTGGCCCCCAGGTTGTCCCGATGGTGGTCACGATGGTCTCCTCCCACTTGCCTTGCGACGCTCACGCCCGCATATGGTTGGGTTCTTCGCCAGGATCACGTTTCTGGCGCCGGGAAGAGCGGCATAGAACACTGCCAGCACTATTTCTTTAAAGAAATATAAGCCCCCCACATTGTGGCCCCTCACTGCGGGGCCCCAGAAGGCGCTGTGATTCTTGATGGGCCCGCCAGCCGAGACGGTCCGATCCCCGTCCGTGTCCTTCCTTCCTCAATCCGTCCCCCTCCCATTCCACCCTTCCTCCCTCGTTCGGTTCCAACTGTTGATGTTACCAAGTCCTCCTGGAGATACGACATTCCATATGAATGAATCGGCCGGAAAAAAACGGAACAAGTCCTCGTCCCCCTGGATCCGTACGTTGAGCAGGACGGCGACAGCGCGATGGACCAATCCTACTTCGGACGCCACCGCAACGCACAAGATACGCGGTTTGATTCCCCTATACATATTTATCCTCTTGTTGTGCTCCCAGGCCCTAGCGATGAGGTTCAAGATTCGTCCTACTCCCATCCCTTCCCTTACATTTCCCGAATTCAGAAGGCCACCGCCACGCGTGGGGCCCGGGCCTCCAATCTTTCTTGCCCTCCGGCTCCCCCCCATGCAGTTGTTCGATCGGCAGCGCTGGCGGAAGCAGGCGCGTGGGTCGAGACCAGCGGGAAACACAGGGCGCGGGGCGCATGAGATGACTCGAGAAACAGAGAGCGGCCGCGGAGGAGGGAGGAGGGAGGAGGAGACTCGACCGTCGAGAGCCGACGGATGACAGGCGCGCAGTCGGCCTCAGGCACCGAAAACGGTGTGCAACAAGTCGCGGAGCAGCGAGAGGACCGCACCATCGAAGTGGAAGACGGCCAGGCGAGGCGTGTTAGCACCGCCTCGGGCCATGGGCAAGGGCCGCCAGGAGGGGAGGAACGTTGTGCTCACAGGTGGCCAACAGGAGAGACGTGCCCGGAGCCGCACGGAGGCGGCCAGGCGGCGCAGCCGCCAAGGCTGCCTCCGCCCGCCGCGGGGCGCCCGACCCTCGACGCCCACGGCCGGGAAATGTGGGACAGCGTGTCGCCGCGGCGGCCCCGGCGACACGCATTACGCCCTGCAAGCGGATAGCGTGTGGCTCCGCTCCGCGGGGCGGGAGGCTCGGAAAGGCTCGGGACGCTCGGGGATCGGGCCAGAACCGGCGGAGCGAAGCGCTCGGCCAAAGCTCCTGACCGTGAGGCCAACGGGCATGCTCCGACCCAGACCGCGGGGGCTGACTCTGGAGGAGAGCCTTCCTGCCGTGGGCCCTCGCCGCCGTTGTAAGCCAACGGGTAGAGCGCTTCGTTACCACCCCGATCCGATTCCTCCCTCGTTCTCCCCCCCACCCACCCCTTGGCACGCCCGCAGTGGGTGCGGAAAAAAACGGGCATGACGCCCAAAAGAAAACGTTGCCCAGAACCGACAGCGGGCGCTGTTGAGCAGGCGAGCGCTTGCGTCAAATGAAAGACGCCCACGGCGACACAGACAGCAAATCCTGTTCAAAATTGATAGGAGCGTCGGTGTGTCTTCAGCTCCGTTATTTCCGTACCCATTTCGGTTGTACAGAACCCCATCAAATCGATCGAGTCGCGGGCACTGACGGTCCTCCGATCTCGTGGGGGCCGCTGCCCATGGCAAGCTGCAGGGACGCGGGCTCGGAGAAGGAGACGAAGGCCATCCCCTCGTCAGGGGGCGCGGCGCAAAGAGGAAGGAGAGTGGGTGGAGGAGGGGGAGGGCAGAGACCGGAGGAGTGGGACGAGGTAGGAGAGGAGGAAGGAGGGAGAGGACGAGGAGCAAGGGAGGAGGGACGGGGTGAGGGCCCAGGAGGGGGGGAAGGATCCCGTTCTACCACATTTGGGTCGAGGGGGCGTCGCAGCCTTCTTCCTCCTCCTCCTCCTCCTCCTCCTCCTCCTCCTCCTTCTCCTCCTCCGTCTCCTCCTCCTCCTCCTCCTCCTCCTCCTCCTCCTCCTCCTGCTCCTCCTCCTCCTCCTCCTTCTCTTCCTCCTACTCCTCCATATGCTTCTGCTTCTGGTTCTTCTCCTCCTCCTGCATCTCCTCCTCCTCCTCCTCCTCCTCCTCCTCCTCCTCCTCCTCCTCCTCCTCCTCCTCCTCCTCCTCCTATTCCTCCTTCTCCTTGAAAGATGTTGTATCGCATATGGGGATGATGTCCTGCACAACTGTTCGGCTGCATGGCTGCGGAACAGGACGACCAGCTCCTACAATGAATCTGGGCAGTGGCAGCATCGTGGCTCAAATCCACTAGCCCTCTTGGTGGTCTAACGATATCCTTACTCCTTTTCCAGTACCATCTTCCCTTCGGGGAAGAATCCACTCCCCCCCTCTCCCTGAGGTTGTGTTTGGAAGAAAAAACGCAATGTCTCCTCCCCCCCTCGCTGAGGTGTTTGTTGTGGGTCGCGATGTGTCCGTGGGTCTTTTTCGCCCAATAAAACCGAAGATGATTCACGATGGCGTCCGGCATGCCTCCAAGAGGCCCCAAGAAGACCACAAGACAGCTCCAAGTTTGTCGCTGTGTCAAAGCTGTTCAGAGGCTTTCCTTCAGATTGTCTCTGAAGGCCACTGCACTTGTAGCGTCAGCACGTTGACAAGTGCTACTTGCCACCAGCTGGAATTACAAGACCTGGGGCTGCGAGAAGCGAGGAGTGGGAAAAACCATGGTACTTCCTGATCTAGTTGATGTCTTCCTTGGTTGCCCCTCAACTGGACTCAGTGTAGTCAGTGAGCGGCGACCCAGAGCAGAAGATCCAAGCGAGGCATCCGCATTCCCTGGGCGAGCCGTTCCCACCACCGCTCCGCGGTTGAGCCACTGTTGAAAGTTGCTCCCGACCGATCTGTGGAGTGGGCTCATCGTTTGGAATCCACAGAACTCCGCGTCCGTGTCTGTCTTCCTGATCCGCTCTCTGAGCATGTCCACTTCGGCTCACTGCGCACACGTTCCGTGGCCACACAAAACAAGCTCCACGCCGCTACCGTCCCCCAACCCACTTCGGCTCACCCATGCCTCCCCCATTCCCCTTCCCCTTCCCCTTCCCCTTCCCTCCCCTCCCTCCCCTCCCCTCCCCTCCCTCCCTTCTCCTCCCTCCCTCCCTCCCTTCCATTCCCGTCCCTCCCTCCCCTCCCTCCTTTCCCTTCCACACGCTTCGTGACCCCACTGGGAGCTCCACGAGAGCCTCCATGAGGGTGGTGCCGAACAGCGCCCCCCCGCCGACGTCAGCACGCCCGTCCCACGCCTCGCGGCCCGAGGGGGAGCTCCGTCGAAGCCCCCAACGAACGGTGCCGCATAGCATCCCCCAGCCCATGCGGGCGCACCCCTCGCGAGCTTCGCGGCCCCGCACGTTGGAGGCCCAGAAATGGGCACCAACACCAACACAGGGGGTGGCCTCCACAGGGGGAAGACGATCCTCGAGTTCGGTGCTGGTGGCAATATGTCGGCCACCTTGGAAGCCAGAATATGACCACCATCACCGAGATCCAGATCTTCCTCCCTCGGTGGATGCACAACGCCGATATTGGTGTTGGTGTCAATCTCTAGGCCTGCGAGTGCGGGGCTCCCCCGAAGCCCCGAGGACGTGGTGCAGCATAGCGCCCCCGAGCCCATGTCGGCACACTCCTCGCACGCTTCCGTGGCCCCGTCCGCCGTGTGGGGGATCCGCCCACGGCCTCGGTGGCCCCGACCGCACACCCATCGGTCGTAAGAGGTAGGTCGAACCATGAAGCAGGAACTCGCCATCGCTCGGACGTCCATTCCCTGTGTTTTTGTTCGGTTTCGTGCGTGGCTTTTTCGCCAAATGATCAAGGATGCTCCTCGATGGTCCCCGCCGAAGGAAAAATGCACACGTCCGAGCGATGCCAAGGGAAGGCGTTGGAAGCAGATTTGGTCTCCGCCCGCCCTCCGCAGAGGAGGGAAGAGGGGGGAAGCCACTCGAGCACTGAAGTAGGGAGGCACTTTTAAAGTGGATTGGAATCTGGGACTCCCAAAATTACTTCATTCAACGACCGGTGGGTAACGTCCCCCCGCCCACTTCGGCACACCCTCCACACGCTTCTTGAACTCACAGGGAGCTCCATCCACCCACGGTCTCAGTGGGCGCCGGCGTATGGAGGCGCCGCGCCGTCCCTTTCGGCACACCCTTCGCACGCTTCGTGGCTCCATGGGGAGCTACGCCTACGATGCCAGCGGCAGGTTCCGCATGGAGGCGCCGCCCGTTTCGGCACACCCTTCACACATGTTGCAGCCGCGCAGGGATCGGGAGCGGCCACGAGGGGGGTGTCCAAGAGGGGGTGGTGCAAATCATGACCGGCGGCATGTGCGCGGCCCAGCGGGGAGGCCAGGGACGTAATGAAGTAAGAAGAGGCCCCATGAAATCTGGGAAACATCATGGCCCACGCCATGATATCCACCCCCCCCCTAGTCATCACTCCCCTCTTTGCCGCCCCCGAAGGGAGCTGCACCTTCGGCCCCACCGGGACGGTCCGCGTGGCGGCGCCGCCCTCTTCAGCGCATCCCTCAGCAAGGCGTGTTCCTTCGCGCCTTCGGGAGCACATGCGGCCTCAGTGTGCGCGGCCGCATGGCCGCGCCGCCGCCCGTTTCGGCGCACCCTTCGCGCATTCCGCGGCACCATATGGAGCTCCACCTACGGCCTCAGGCCCTAGTACGACTACGACTACGACTACGACTACGACTACGACTACGACTACTACTACTACTAAACTACTACTACTACTACTACTACCTTTTTTTCTACTACTACTACTACTACTACTACTTTTACTATTACTACTACTACTACTACTACTACTACTACTACTACTACTACTACTACTACTATTACTACTACTACTACTACTACTACTACTACTACTACTACTACTACTACTACTACTACTACTACTACTACTACTACTACTACTACTACTACTACTACTACTACTACAACTACACTACTACGACTACGACTACGACTACGACTACGACTACGACTACGACTACGACTACGACTACGACTACGACTACGACTACGACTACGACTACGACTACGACTACGACTACGACTACGACTACGACTACGACTACGACTACGACTACGACTACGACTACGACTACGACTACGACTACGACTACGACTACGACTACGACTACGACTACGACTACGACTACGACTACTACTACTACTACTACTACTACTACTACTACTACTACTACTACTACAGGCTCCGCAATATTCGCGGCGCTGCCAATTTCTGCACACCTCTCACGAGAGGACCGTGGCACTACAGGGAGCTCCACCTGCGGCCCCAGTGGGCGGGTCCACACGGCGGCGCTGGCCCTTTCGGCACACGTCTCATCTCACGAGGACCACGCCCCCGTCAGGAGCTTCGCCTGCGGCCTCAGTGGGAAAGTTTGCGAGCGTACTTTCGCCCGTTTCGGCACACCCCTCACGCATGCCCCGCCCACGGCCCCAGTGGGGAAAGTTTGCATGGCTTCCCCCGAGCATTTCGGCGTACCCCTTGCAGGTTCCGCACCCCCAAAGGAAGTTCCACAAACGGCCCCCCTTGGAAAGTTGCACGCGCCCCCGCCCATTGCAGCACATCCCTTCCACGGGCCGTCCATACACAGGTCCGTCACCACCGATACACCAAGCTGCTAAGGGTTGGGTCGATTGCCAGTCTAATGTTTACTCCTGGGGGTAACTCGCGTTAGGGGAGGTAACGCGACGCACCCCCCCACGCGCCGGGGGCCCCTGCGTCGCCCCCCCCCCCGCTGGCGCACCATGGGTACTGTATCCGCGCCCCTGTGCGGACACGAATCGCCGGGGGGGCAGAACCGAACCTGCGTGCTCGACAGTACCGTGCGCATCACAGTGCCTGTGTGCACCACCGCGTGTGTTGGTTCCACTGCGCCTGTGTCCGCCACATCGGCTGTTGCAGCAGCAGCATCAGCAGCGTGCACCGCGGCGCCTGCTCACACCACAAAGCCTGCGTACACGACAGCAGCCGCGTGCACCGCAACGCCTGTGTACACCATAGTGCCTGTGTACACCACGACGCCAGTGTGCACCACTGCCGCACTGGTTCAACATCATCTGTGGGCACCACTGCGCTTGTACACGCCAAAACCACAAGCCATGGTGCACCTCCAGGGTCCCGACGGGGCCAAACTCTGGAAATTCGAAGGGACCAGATGTATCAATGTCAAACTGTCTGCCATTTGTGATCATTGTTTTTTCTGGCCCAGGGAAGGGTCCACTGCATGCTGGGCCTACAATGCATGTGTATGCCACACTGTCTACGTGCACTCCAATGCCTGTGTGAACAGGGATGCCTGTGTACACAATAGGTGCTGCAGCTGCAGCAACAGTGTGCATCACAGCGCCTTTGTACACCACAGCGCCTGTGTGCACAATACAGCCTGTGTGCACAACGATGCCAGTGTACACCACAATGTTTGCGCCTGTGTACACCACAGACGCTGCTGCAACAGCAGCTGTGTGCACCACAGCACGTGTAATGTACACATACACTGTTGGCCCAACATTGGGGGGTACTACGGGTCAGAAAAAAAATATGCCTGGCAAAGGACCCGACCCTGTGCAGTTGCGAGGAACGTACGATATGGTTCACTCCTAATGAGTAGGTCGCCGCGATGGGGATGGACCCTGGGGCAATGCGGATGGGGGCCACAAAACGAATGCGGGGTATGCCGAAATTGAGTGGTGGCGCCATGCGCACCAAGGCACTAGGGCCGTAGGTTGAGCACCCTATGAAGCCACGACGCGTGCGAGGGGTCTATTAAAATGAGGCGGTGCCGCCACGCGGACCCTGCGATTGGAGCCTTTGGTGGAGCTCCATGCGTGGCCACGAGACGTGTGAGGGCTGTGCCGACATGAAGGCGGCGGCGCAATGCTGTCGCGCCCATTGGGCCATTAATTAGGTGGAACACCCTGCGGGCCACGAAACGTGTGAGGGGTGTGCGCGGAAATGGTGGCGACGCCGCCACGCGTGAGGGGAATGCCGAATCTAACGCGGTGCCGCCACGCGGTCACGCCCACTGGGACCGCAGGTAGAACTCTCCATGGGGTCACGAGAGATGCGAGGACCGTGACGACACGGACATGCGGAGACCACGAAAAAGAGGATGGGGCAAGTGAAAAGAAGGTGGGCCGCGGCGCTGCGGACTCAAGACAAGGAGCCAATTCACACAGGATAGTTGGGAGCAGTCACGAACCACTTACAGATTGAATTTGATGCGTTCGGTTTCCTTGTGACGTTCTGGGTCCGGGCTCCATCGGGAGCTTGGGGGTGCACACGACGACGACGACGACGACGACGACGACGACGACGACGGCGGCGACGACGACGACGACGACGACGGCGGCGACGGCGACGACGATTGTAGGTGGAGCTCCTTGTGGGGCCACGAGGCGTGCGAGGTGGAAGGGTCTGGCGAGGAGCGCTGGGGTGACCACTGCGCCCTCAAGGAACCTCGCGCGAGGCTCGCGCGAGGACTGCCCGCGCGTGGCGAGGTCACCAGGCGAAGCGACGCGGAGCCCGCGCGGCCCCCGAGGGCGTCGCAGAATGCGCAACGAGCCATCGCAGCGCCCATCGAAGTTGCAACTGTTGCCGACGCGCCGACAAAATCAGCACTGCGAGGGGCGTGCCGGCGCCCTCCGAGGCCGGCGAGACCGCAGGGGGGGAGAGCTCCCCGCGGTGCCGCGGAAGGGGGCTCGCGGCACATCGATCGCCAGGCAGCGGCACACCCACGGAGGCCGCAGGCGGAAGGCCTCGCGGCGGAGCCGCGGAGGCGTGCGGGAGAGGTGTGCCGACAACGCGGCAGGCGGAGAGCAGGGGGAAACGGGGGGGGGGGACGAAACGGACGGACGCGCGAAATCGTCCTCGTCCCTCCTCCTCCTCCTCCTCCTCCTCTCCTCCGCCCTCCTCCTCCTCCCTCCTCCTCCTCCTCCTCTCCTCCTCCTCCTCCATCCCCTCCTCCTCCTCCTCCTCCCTCCTCCTCCTCTCCTCCTCCTCCTCCTCCTCCTCCTCCTCCTCCTCCTCCTCCTCCTCCTCCTCCTCCTCCTCCTCCTCCTCCTCCTCCTCCTCCTCCTCCGCTTCCTCCCCCCACTCCTAGCCCTTTCGATCAGGGTCGGCGGCACCGGCCGTCAGGCCTCTCCAATCGTCCCCAGGGGGGCCGGGCCGACTGAGCGGCCTGCGCGGTGAGGCCGTAGCCTCTCACAGGGAGTTGCCGCTCTGGAGAGCGATGCCTTGTCCTCAGCCCCTAGGAGTGAGCACGGGCAGTGGCCGCCTCGTAACACCGTTTGCCGAAAGTGAAACAGACTTCGGGGCAGCGAGTGCCTCACGCAATACGCGGCGCCGTGGAAACGGGGGGGGAAGGGAAAAGGGGGAGGAGGAGGTGGGGCGCGGCGCCGTGAGTGCCAGACGAAGGCCCAGCTCACACCTGATGGCGGGAAAAGAGCAAGAGGGAGGATGAGGGACAAAGGAAGAAGAGGAGGGGTGGAAAGGTGGGGCGCGGCGATGCGAAGTCAGAACGAAGACCCACAAGACAGGGGGGTGGGGAAAACAATGTCTTTTTAGCTGGCCACATCCACAAGCAGCAACAATGCCCCATTGCCACGTTCGCACCGATGATTCTGACCGGCTTCTTAGAGCGCCTGGGTGCTGGCTACAAGTCTCGGGAACTGAACGGGGTGTGGCTCAAATCCGAGCATGTCGAGAAGTCTTCTCCACGTAGACCACAGGCTGCTCGCTGCGATGTGTACTGTCCTGAACATGCAGCGGCGGTCTTGGATGATTGAGAAAGGCTCCGTGTTTCTGTCTGCGCACGCTTGCCGGCTGAAGGCGCTAGTTGGGGGCACCGCCTCCTGGCAGCACGTGCCTTTAGCGCGGGCAAACCCACTTTCGAACCCGTCACCCGAACCACTGCTCAAGGGGTTCGAGTTTTATCGACCAGAGTATTACCAGCCTGGAACATATCCCTATCCCTAAGCTGGGCATCGCCTCATCACAATGCCAACATTAAGGATTCCCTTAATTTTTCAGGGCGCATCCCCGAGATTGTCATCGCCTTTTGGCGTGTCGATCTTAGGGATAGGGATAAGTTCGAGGCTGGTGAGAGAAGCGGGAGCGTTTCTGTGCACAGAGGCCTTCGTTCAAATTCTCCTCGGGCTCGCGGGGAGGAGGGGGCACCGCCGCTGTGCAGGTCTGAGCCGGGCGTGTGCTTGGAACCCTAGCCTCGGGGGCTCTCACAGCGGCTGTGAGCTGGCGGCCGCCTCGCCCCGGGTAACGCTTCGGAAGACGTGCGTTCCCAGTGCGACGTCAGTTTCGTTGCAGTTGGAGGACAGGGGAGGATGAGGACAGGGGAGGATAAGGACAGGGGGAGGATCCTGGGACAGGGGGAGGATCCTGGGACAGGGACAGGGGGAGGATAAGGACAGGGGGAGGATCCTGGGACAGGGACAGGGGAGGATCCTGGGACAGGGGAGGATAAGGACAGGGGAGGATCCAGTGCACGTCGTTTCGTCCCAGGACAGGGGAAGATAAAAGGACGAGGGGGAGGGCGGAGCAATTCGCAGGAGCTGACGGCGCAAAAGAGAGGCAGCAGCGCGCGCGGGGGTCCCCTCCTCTGCGGCCTGCGCACCGCGAGCCAAGTAAGCATCGCGGGGGGGCGGCTCCTCGATGCTCAACCATCGGCACGAGGGGCAGGAAGTAGTCGGCGGCGGGCGAGGGGGGGGAGTGAGAAGGAGAACGCCTTCTCAGAAGGCGGCGGGACTTCTCAGAAGCCTTCTCGCGCCTTCTGACAAGGTTTTTCTATGTCTTCGGGGGAAGCTCAGAAAAAATGATGAACTCTCAGAAGGCCGAGCCGAGGGACTTCCGAGCCTTGTGAGAATGCCCGCCTCTTCTCACTTCCCCCCCGGGCTCGCCGCCGAAATAGAGGAGCGGGGTGGAAACCAAGACGGACCAAGCACCTCCCACAACCCAGCGGGGATCCCGCTCAACGTAAAGGTCGCCGACTACGAGGGGCAAAACACAGGATGCGGGGGGGGGGAGTTGGGGAAGGCGTAGTGAAAGGAGGAGGACGGACAGCAGGGCGAGGAGCCGGAGAGAGGGAGGGAACGAGCCGGGGTTTGCCCAGAAGTGCTCCTGGCCCAGGGGGGCCCCAGGATTTCCAGGGAGGCCCCCACGGCCTCCAGAGCACCCCTCACGAGGCCCAGAGGGCCCCTGGGGCTCCAAAACGAAGCGAAAAGCTGGGGGGGGGATGCACCCTGGGCCAGGGCCACCCTCCTCCCTCCTCCCTCCTCCTCCTCCTCCCTCCTCCCTCCTCCCTCCTCCCTCCTCCCTCCTCCTCCTCCTCCTCCTCCTTCTCCTCCCTCCTCCCTGGCCAGAGGAGGGAGGCCAGGGGAGGGAGGCCGGATGTCTGCCGCCGGCCGTCCTTGTGGAAAGCCGCACCGGGGACCGACGGGACGTACACGTCTGTGGTGGCGCCGAACCGCGAGAAGTACTCCGCGATCTCCTCGCGGCGCACCTGGAAGCAGAAGGGCCAGGAGGAGGGGTGGAAGGGGGGAGGCCCTCGATCCTCCTCGATCCTCCTCGACCCTCGATCCTCCTCGATCCTCCTCGATCCTCCTCGATCCTCCTCGATCCTCGATCGAGGATCGAGGCCCTCGATCCTCCTCGATCCTCCTCGATAGCAGGGGGGGCAGGAAAGGAGGCCCTCGATCCTCCTCGAACGATCCCCCTCGATCCTCGATCCTCGATCCTCCTCGACCCCCCTCGATCGTCGATCGATCCCCATCGATCCTCGATACTCCTCGACACTCCTCGATCCTCGATCGATCCCCCTCGATCCTCGATCGAAGGGAGGCGGAGGAGGGGGGAGTGCAGAGAAAGCGCGCCGACCGCCAAGCTGCGACGCGCCGCGGTATCTCCACCGCTCCTTCTTCCCTCCCCCCGAGCAGCCGCAGGTGACACCTTCGACCCGACTCCGCTGGACAGAACGCCGATACGGTCGGACCTAGGACAGAAGAACATCCTTCAAGAACATGAGACCCTCCGCTAGCCAAACGGAGGAACATTCGAGGGCACCCTCCCCAAGGATACACAAGAACATCCAACAAGCACGAAAAACAGTTAGGGAACCCTCACCGAACCGACCTAGATCTTATACCACGGCCCGACCGTACTAGAAGCCTCTCTCCCTCTCTCCCTCTCTTTTCCTCCCCCTGCAAGCTAAGTAATTCCAATACCACGCTCATGTGCCATGGCATAGATCACGTCGCGGCAGGGCGCGGGACGAAGCTTGGCTACCCAAACGCCTGACGTCAAGGAATGGAAACGAAGCCTTGGTGGGAGCGACAGTCTTGGAAAGAGCAAGGCCGGCGTCGAGGAAGTGCCGACGTTTCAGGTGCGAAGCGTTTTTTTGAAGACTCCAAACACCCCCAGACGGGAGAGGCGCTGCGGCGGCAGAGCGATCACCGCGAGGACGAGCGAGCGTGAGGGATGAAAGAGGGTGAACGTGGGGAGGGGAGGGGCGAGGATGAGCAAGGGGACAAACGAGGGTGAGATGGAGGCCTGGGCATTCGTGTGCGTACCAAACGTACCTACAATAAACAAACGCGTCTTCAATCTGAGCGGCGCGGAACAATCGCGGCGCCTGAGTGCCTCGGCCTCGCTAGGAAAATAACCGGAGCGCGTCGGCCGCCTCCTCAGCGGATAGCTGCATGGTGCAAGGGCGAGCGAACTTACTTAGGAGACAATTTCTGGGAGGGTTTCGTGAGAACGAGTGAGGGCGGTCAAGCCCGAGTAAGGAGCGACGAAGCCAAACTAGGCCAGAAAGATGCCCATGATTAAGCCAGATTAAGCCAAACCAAGCGAGCGAGGCGAAGCGAGGCGATTCGCCAACATACGTCCAACAGGACGGCCCTACGAGAGCACGGCGGCTGGGCTGGAGCCCAGCACACACGTTGCATCCCTGTGTGGCTCGTGAGCGCGACAGCATGAATAGGCGGAGCTAGGCAGGGTTCTGACGGCTTGGGCTGGTCGGATATGCCAGCGCCGATGCTGAATCTGGCCCCCCAGAAGTTGCGTCCTGAGCTGCTGTTGAGCGAAGACGCCGATCGAGCAGAGCATGGGCCTGCCGGCGAACCGCGGGGCGGCCCGAGGAAGTCGGACCCCGCACTGCCCCAGGGAAGGAGAGGAGGAGGACTGCTCCGGCAGGGGGCCCCGAGCGCGAGCCCCCCGCCCCCGCGGCGCCTCCCGCAGGAGTGGCCATCGCTCGGACGTCCGTTCCCTGTGCCTTTTTCGGTTTCGCGCGTGGCTTTTTCGCCAGAGGACCGGGGATGCTCCTCGATGGTCCTCGCCGAGGGAAGAGTGCACACGTCCGAGCGATGCCAAGAGGAGTCGTGCCTGCCTCTCCGGCGCGGGGCGGCCGCGCGCGCGCAGGGGGCCCGCGGCCGGCCCGGAGAGGCTCACCACGACCACTTGTCCTGCCGCTTCACGACCTCCGCCGCGCTGCCGGGGAGCGGCATGCCGCACGACTTCATGTCGTACTCCATCATCTCGTAGACCAGCTCCTTGAAGGAGCACTCGGGCTCCCAGCCCACCTCCCTCTTGGCCTTGGAGGGGTCGCCCAGCAGCGTGTCCACCTCCGTGGGCCGGAAGTACCTCGGCGAGATCTGGACCTTCACCTGCCCCGACTTCTCGTCGACGCCCTCCTCCGAGAGCCCCTCGCCACGCCAAGTGATGGGCTTCTCCACCATCTCGAAGCAGAGGGTCACCAAGTCGCGCACGCTGTACTGCTTGCCCGTGGCAAGCACATAGTCGACTGGTTTCTCCTGAGCAAGGACGAACGGGAGGGAGAGCGGGAGAGGGAGGAATAGGGGAACAAAAAGTGGCATACACATAAAAACTCAGAGGTCCGCGCGGATTTCTCGGATCGGCGCTGGGGCCCCCCGGCGACGCCTCTGGCGCCGCCCCTGGCGCGCTCTGCGCGCCAGGGAGGGGGTCCAGCGCCGATCCGAGAAATCCGCGCGGACCTTCGAGTTGTTATGTTTACGCCTCTTTCTGGATGAGGGAGAAGGAGGAGGAGGAGGAGGAGGAGGAGGAGGAGGGAAACGTGAGAGCAGCGTTAGGAGAAGAGTCTTGCCATCAGATACCTTCAGCGAAGAGGGACGAGGAGGGAGGAGGAGGAGAGGAGGAGGAGGAGGAGGAGGAGGAGGAGGAGGAGGAGGAGGAGGAGAGGAGGAGGAGGAGGGAGGAGGAGGAGGAGGAGGAGGAGGAGGAGGAGGAGGGAGGAGGAGGAGGAGGAGGAGGACGAGGAGGAGGAGGAGGAGCACGGAGGAGCTGGGCGGGAGGACAGGGCAGTAAGCGGAGCGGCGAAGAGTGGGAGGCCCAGGGTGGGGACTTTGGAGGGGGAGGAGGGGGGAGGGGAGGGGAGGAGGAGGAGGAGGAGGAGGAGGAGGAGGAGGAGGAGGAGGGGGAGGAGGGGAGGAGAGGAGGAGGAGGAGGAGGAGGAGGAGGAGGGAGGAGGAGGAGGAGGAGGAGGAGGAGGAGGGGGAGGAGGGGGAGGAGGGGGAGGAGGCCTGCTGCAAGAACATCCACATGCCCTTCACGTAGTCCCGGGCGTGGCCCCAGTCGCGCAGGGAGTCGATGTTTCCAAGGATCAGCTTCTCCTGGGAGCAGGAGGGGGAGGAAGAGGGAGGAGGAGGGAGGGGGGACCAGAGAAAGTCGGAGCGCCGATTCTATCCTTCTTCCCCGCGGCGATCAGCGCCACGTCGTGCGTGACCTTCTTGGTCACGAACGTTCCGCCGCGTCTCGGAGACTCGTGATTGAAGAGGATGCCGTTCAGCGCGAACATGTTGTACGCCTCCCGGTAGTTCACAACGATCCAGTACGCGTACATCTTCGCCACGGCGTACGGGGAGCGCGGGTAGAAGGGCGTCGACTCCTTCTGGGGAATCTCCTGTACCATGCCGTACAGCTCCGACGTGGAGGCCTGGTAGAAGCGCGTGGTCTTCTCCAGGCCCGCGGTGCGGATGGCCTCCAGCAGCCGCAGCGTGCCCACGCCGTCTGCCTGGGCCGTGTACTCCGGCTCCTCGAACGACACCTTGACGTGCGACTGCGCCGCCAGATTGAACACCTCGTCGGGCCTGACCCTCTGGACGATGGAGGCCATGTTGGAGCTGTCCACGAGGTCACCGTAGTGGAGATGGATCTTGTCGAAGATGTGGTCTATCCTGGCGGTGTTGAAGGACGACGAGCGCCTGATGATGCCGTGCACGCAGTAGTTCTTGCTCAGCAGCAACTCCGCCAGGTACGAGCCATCCTGCCCTGTGATGCCAGTGATCAGGGCGGTTTTGCGCATCGCGGCGGATCTTCGACTTGCGGGTCAAGCCAACGAAGGGCGGCCAGAGCTGGCTTCAGCCAGACTACGAATGTTCAGCCAAAAAGGCTACATGACGACACTTCTGATGGTGATGATCATGGTGACGATCTTATGATGTTGACGCCGACGACGTTTACGGCACATGGCACTGATGGTCACAAATATGATGACGAAGCAGTGCGCGTGCGACGAAGACGATGATGATGGCAGTCTGAACGCGCCGCGTCCACAAACGAGGCCCTTTGGATCGCAATCGGCGCAATGGTGACCCTCGTAGTGTGAAACACCAGATCGAAATCAAGCCTTTTACCCAGTAGGGGCGCAGAGAGTGAAGCGAAAGGGACGAGGCACGACGCACCTACAAGAAAGCTAGGAGAACGCACACCCAGCAGGGAGGCGGCCAAGCAGGAAATATAAGCGAAAGTCAACGAAGACATGACTGGGAAAGCCGACGAAGATTCCGACCAGGCGCCAGCGCTCGAACGCCGCTTATAGTAGCGGCGAAGCCTTCGCATGGCCGCGTTCCCCTGCGCGCAAGAAACATCGGGACAGACCAACGGTCCCTATGAATCGGCAATACGAGACCCGTCGCGAAGCGAAGCGACCGCGCAATACCGCTAGGAGGGACCATGGGGGTTGGCGTGGCGGGGCTGGAATCCTCGGTTCGTGTTTTCCGCGTCGCAGCCCCCACAACAAAAGTAATGCGCTTGCCATATCTTCCGCGCCACTAGTGGGCATCGCATGCAAGAGCCAACCTCCATCCTCAGCCAGTGCCCTCAGATTTTTGTGCGTGGTGGCTTTACCATGCCCATTGTCTCAAATATAACACAAAGTCGCGGAGACCCTACACAGCAATGATGATGCACCAGAACACACGCTGTGAACCAACGTCCAACAAGAGCCGCCGACTGCCGAGCACGGCACGGCGCGGCGCGTCACGCGCGCACGGCACGCCACGACGCGGCACACGCGCGCCGCCTTCGGGCACCCCGGCGCGGGCGCGGCACGCGGGCGCGGCACGGCACGCCCTCCGAGACCTGGAGCCCGGGCACGGCACGGCGCGGTCTGCACGCAGTCTGCTCACGCACGCCGCGGCACGCCGCTCGCTCTCCTGAGCCCAGGCGCGGCACGGCACGGCACGGCGCGCGGGCACGACGCGGCGCCGCGCGGCACGGCACGACGCAAATCGTGATGCTCGCATGCTCAGACCCGGGCACAGCGCGGCACGGCACAGCACGCGGGCGGGGCACGGCGCAGCAAACGTGTCACATGCTACTACCTATAGGGACCGCACGGCACGGCCCAGCACACGCGTCGCATTCTTCTACTGGGTACGGCGCGGCCAAAAAAAGGCACCGCCCGGAACGGCACACCGCCTGCGCTCGAAAACCCAAGGACCGCTCGGCACGCCGAACTCCAGCCAGAGATAGCCTCGGCCCGGAGCTCCAGACACAAAACGCCTCGAAATTCCACCCAGATAACGCGTCGTCCAACCCAGAAAAACGCCTCGGAGTTCCAGCCAGCAAACGCCTCGGCCTGGGTTTCCAGCCAGAGAGCGCGTCTGATTATTTTGCGGCATGCGGTCTCGCGAGGCCCCCGAACGGGGCACTGAGCACTGGCCACTGAAAAGGCCGCTCGGGCATGCTGGTACTGGGCCGAGTCGAGTATCGCCAGCGCAGCTACTGATTTATTATATATATATATATATATATACATACACACACATACATATATATATATATATATATATACATACATACATACATACATACATACATACATACATACATACATACAGACAGACAGACAGACAGACAGACAGACAGACAGACAGACATTCATGCATACATGCATGCATACATACATGCATACATACATATACACATACACATACACATACACATACACATACACATACACATACACATACACATACACATACACATACACATACACATACACATACACACATACACATACTTACACTTACGCGTACACATGTACATAAACAAATACATATACATATACATATTCATATACATATTCATAGTCTTATACATGTACATATACATAATCATATACATAGACATATACAAACACATAATCATATACATATACATATACATATACATATACATATACATATACATATACATATACATATACATATACATATACATATACATATGCATGTACATATACATATACACAAACAGAGACATATATATATATATATATAAACCATGCACAAACACAAAATCATACACATCTACCGACATGCATAAATATATAAATATGTATAAATATACGTATACATATACAGTGGCCTGGCCCGGGGGGGTCCAAGTTCGAGCCGGCGCCGAAGCGGCTATTTGAAGGCGCTATTCCCCCAAGGAGCTGTAGTGACGCCTCTATTCCGCTGACGCCCGGAAAAGCTCGTGACGCCTCTACTCGGCCTGAAGCCTCTATTCCGTTGACGCCCAGTGAAGCTCGTGAAGCCTCTAGTCGGCCTGAAGCCTCTATTCGGCCTGAAGCCTGTATTCGGCTCGTGACGCCTCTATTCGGCCTACGAATTGCGACGCACTGGTGGGATAGCGACCCTAAACGCGCCCATTTGGCTTGAACCCTTTATTCTCCTGACGCCCACTGAAGCTCGTGAAGCCTCTATTCGGTCTGAAGCCTCTATTCCCCTAACGCCCGGTGAAGCTCGGCCTGTAGCCTCTATTCCCTTGACGCCCGTTGAAGCTCGTGAAGCCTCTACTCGGCCTGAAGCCTATATTCCCCTGGCGCCCAGTGAAGCTCATGAAACCTATATTCAGCCTTGTTCCCCTGACGCACGGTGAAGCTCGTGAAGCCTCTATTCGGTCTGAAGCCTCTATTCCCCTGACGCCCGGTAAAGCTCGTGAAGCCTTTATTCGGCCTGAAGCCTCTATTCCCCTGACGCCCGGTGAAGCTCGTGAAGCCTTTATTCTGCCTGAAGCCTCTATTCCCCTGGCGCCCGGTGAAGCTCGTGACGCCTCTATTCGGCCTGAAGCCTCCATTCCCCTGACGCCCAGTGAAGCTCGTGAAGCCTCTATTCGGCCTGAAGCCTCCACTCCCCCGTCGCCCAGTGAAGCTCGTGAAGCCTCTATTCGGCCTGAAGCATCTATTCCCATGACGCCCAGTGAAGCTCGTGACGCTTCGCAGGGTTCGTGCCCCAGGGGAGGGCAAATCTGGAAGCAATCACGTAAAACGCGAAAGATTCGTGCACCTGGAAAGGGATCGTGCCCCAGGAGAGGGCCAATCACGCTAAGGATTCGTCCCCCATGATACGACCACTCTATCAGCACGCACGTGAAGCACGAAAAATTCGCGCCCTAGTAGAGGGTCAATCTATAGGCACATACGTAAAACACTAAGAGGACTCGTGTTCCAAGAGAAGGTCGATCTATTGACACATACGTTAAACACAAAAGGATTCGTGCCCCAGGGGATGGCCAATCTATATGCACACACGTAAGACACGAAGGATTCGTGCTCCAAGGGATGGCGAATATATATATATATATATATATATATATATAGATATATGTGCACATGCGTAAATCACGCAGGGTTCGTGCCCCAGGAGAGGGCAAATCCATAGGCGCATACGTAAAACACGCAGGGTTCGCGCCCCAGGGGAAGGCAAATCTATAAGCAAATGCGTAAAGCACGAAAGATTCGCGCCCCTGGAAAGGGCCAATCTAAAGGCATACACGCGAAATATCAAGGACTCGTGCCCCAAGAGAGGGCCAACCTATACGCACATGTGTAAGATACAAAGGATTCGCGCCCCAGAAGAAGGCAAATCTCCAGGGATCACGTAACACGCCAAGGATTCGCGTTGCATGATGCGGCCACGAAATAAGCACGCACGGAAAAAACTAAACACTCGTACCTCAAGAGTAGGCCAATCTATAGGCACATGCGTAAAACACAATGGACTCGTGCCCCAAGAGAAGGCCGATCTATTGGCACATACGTTTAACACAAAGGACTCGCGCCCCAGAAGAGGGCCAAGACAGCTCCAGGAGGCATCGGGAGTGGCCAAGACAGCCCCAGAAAGCACCAGGAGGCCCCAGGAGCCCCGGTGAGCTCCCCCGGGAGGCCCCAGGAGGCTCCAGGCCTCACCGGGCTTTCTCTGTTTAATGATTTTGTTTATCAACTTGGTGAGGGGTCTTGCCTAGCAAAGGGTGCCGCACAGCAAAGTGGCACGTCTAGCACCAAGGATTCTTTTGTAATCAGCTTGGCGAGGGGTCTTGACTAGCATAGGGTGCCGCACAGCAAAAGGCATGTCTAGCACCAGGGATCATGTTTTAATTAACTTGGGGAAGGGTCTTGCCTAGCAGAAGGTGCCGCGCAGCAAAGGGCTTAAATCAACTTGGGGAGGGGTCTTGCCTAGCAGAAGGTGCCGCACAGCAGATGGGGCACGCCTAGCACCAATGATTCTTTTTAAATCAACTTGGGAAGGGCTCTTGCCTATCAGAGGGTGCCGCACAGCAAAGGGGTACGTCCAGCACCAAGGATTCTTTTTTATCAACTTGGCGAGGGGTCTTGCCTACCAGAAGGTGCAGCGCAGCAAAGGGCCTCACCTTGCAGAGGGTGCCGCAGAGCAAAGGGGCACATCTAGCACCAAGGATTATAATTTCATCAACTTGGGGAGGGGTCTTGCCTAGTAGAAGGTGCCGCACAACAGATGGGACACGCCTAGCACCAAGGATTCTTGTTTGAATCAATTTGGGGAGGGCCATTGCCTAACAACGGGTGCCACACAGCAGATGGGGCACGTCTAGCACCAAGAAATCATTCTGAATCAACTTGGGTAGGGGTCTTGACTAGCAGAAGGTGCCGTTCAGCAGATGGGGCACGTCTAGCACCAAGGATTTTGTTTAACCAACTTGGGGAGGGCCGTTGCCAAACAAAGGGTGCCACACAGCAGATGGGGCACGTCTAGGATT